CAGCGACGACGGACGCCATGTCGTGGGTCACGGTCCTCAAGTACTTGGAGCCTGCCGACCTTGCGGACGACGACGAGTTTGAGGAAGTCCGGGACGAAGTAACATCCGAGTTTTCAAAACTGCATCCGGTGCAAGCCGCCGAGATTGACCGAGATACGGGCGTCTGCCGTCTCCAGTACGCATCGCCGTCGGCGGCCATGGCGGTCACGCAACACTACGACAACAAGCCGTACGGTGGCACTCCGATTCGAGTCGAGTGGGCCGGAGGCCAGGTCGTACCACCTCCGACGTCGCATCCGACTGTCGACGTGCCGCCCGTCCGGAAGCTTCGGAACGCCAGTGCGATCCGTGCGTACGTCGACCAGGTACCATTCCCCGTAGACGCGAAATGCTGAAGCATTGCCATATTCGTAGAAGATTGACGTTGGCGGCGAGCTGCAAGTCGGTGTGACGGCGCTCCTCGGACGTCTCATGCAGCTGCAGGTGACACCTTGGATCCACGAAGATGACACACAATGATCTTACGAGTAGGAACGTGCTCGGTTGACCAACCCGCTCAAGGCCAAGAAAACGCGTCGCCTCGTTTTCGGTCTACGCGAGGTAGCGTTGGGTCTGTTGGAAAAGAGACGAATGAAGTGACCCTCTCTCTTAAGGTGAAGCGAGGTCTCAAGAACCTCAAGGTCATGTGCTTGCTTGTGGCCTACGACGTGGACGAGTGCGCGGCGGAAGGCGGCCTCGATGATAAGATTGTCGAGCTCATCGATTTGGCACGCGCCAACAAGATCACGGTCGTCTTTGCCCTCTCCAAGTACAATATTGGATGGGCCACAAACCAACAAAACGCATCATTAGGCGCAAGCTTGGCAAGGCAGTCCTTAAGACCATTCGCGTGAGCTGCGTCGGCATCTACTCGGTCGATGGCGCCAATGACATGTGGACAAGCGTCCAGAAGACCGTCGCGTCGCTGCAACAACCCGACGCGACCGATCCAATGCTGGTAGATGCGATGGACGCTCTGTCGACGAGCTAGTACTTTTTAGTTTGGGAACTCGCAGTGGTAAAGAGACCACTGTTGTAAAAACCACTGTGGCCGTGGATGGTGATGGTTTCTCGAGCACACTTTTGTCTGATTTCACGGCCCTACGATATGAGGTCGATGATTGAGGTCGATCGATGCTTATTGTGCTTCAGCGTAGAATACCGATACGACCTGTCGAGTGTTTGCAAGGTTGACACTCATATTACGAACATTGCAAACAGGCCGACCGCCAGAACAGAGATGTTAGACATCCCTCGTGAGCTTTCTTGGTGTGCGTAGCCACGCAAACGTGGCAATGGCCACCAATACGCATAAGCTCCCGATGATTTCTTATAGCCCAGCGGACACCTAGCTACCTCCAAAGCCTCTCTCACAAACACAGATTCAAGTTTCAGGTAGCTACGTTCCATTACACGATGCTTGGCAATAACAGTACTACCGAAAGGGTCTCTCGCTCGCATCCGTGGCACCGACGAAGTGTCGAGTCGACGGCCAGACAAGCTGGTGGTGACGGCAACCGAAGTCCCGAAAAACCAAACTTCGAAGCCGACTGTCCCATGAAATGCGAGCGATTCGCCTTGTGCTTTGTATGTCGGATCGCGTTTGGTTGCAAAAATACACTGTGACACGAAGTTCGAAGAGCAAAATCGCGCCACGCTCAATTTGTGAATTTCCCACGTGGCCATGAAGATTGCGGTCATTGGCAGTGGCATCTCGGGCCTCTCGGCCGCGTACCTCCTCGGCGCCGACCATGACGTGACCGTCTTCGAGTCGGAAGAGCGCCTCGGCATGTGCTCGCACACCATGCACTTTGGCGACGTGCACCTCGACAGCCCGATCCGGTCCTACTCGACCGGCTTCTACGTCAACCTCGCCGCGCTCTACAAGGAAATCGACGTCGAGACGCGCGAACTGCCGTGCGATATGGTCTTTCTCGAGCTCGGGCAGCGCCCGTTCTACCGCAGCAGCTCGTACACGCTGCTCGGGTACCGCCTTCCGTCCTTGCGCCACCTGGTGCACATTTACAAGCAGTACTCGCTGCGCGCGCTTCTCGACGCACTGCACTTTTTCCGCCAGTCGCCCGACGCGACGCCGCCCTCGATGAGCGTCGACGAGTACCTCAAGGCGCAGCGCTACTCGACCGAGTTCATCGACGGAATTCTCCTCCCGTTCCTCTCGATGATGCTCACGTGCTCGTACGAGGCGTGCCTCGCCTACCCGATTACCGTCGTCCACGATTACTTTAGCAAGTCGTCGTCCATGAACCAGCGCGTGACTGTCAACGGGTCGGTCAACGTCGCGCGTCTTCTCTCGAGCCGCGCGTCGGCCGTGCACCTCAGCACCAAGATCACGGGCGTCTACAAGGCAAATGCCCAAGGTCTCGCCACGGTGACCTACCAAGCGCACGGTAGCCACGTTGAAGAGACGGCGACCTTTGATCACGTCATCGTCGCGTCCCAGGCCAACACGGCGCTCTCGTTCCTCAAGGACATCGATGCCGACGTTCGCGAAACGCTGTCGGCGATCCCGCACGACTATACGACGACCGTGGTCCACAAGGACCCGGTCGTGATGCCGTCGACGCGCAGTGATTGGTCGTTCTTCAACTTTGTGCTCCCGCGGTCGTCGTCGACGGAGACGCGGACGGGCATGGACGCCATGATGACGCTCTGGCCGACGCGCTGGACGCCCGACATCAAGGAGCTCGAAAACATCTTCCAGACGTGGAACCCGATTGTCGAGATCAACCCGGCGCTCGTTTTGCGTCAAATGGGTTTTATTCGCCCCGTCTTCAACAAGCAGTCGTTCGCGCTCTTGCAGACGCTCAAGACGCAGCAAGGACGTGACGGCATTTGGTTTGTCGGGCCGTACGCCCATTTCCAAGTCCCGCTCCAGGAAAGCGCAGTGTGCTCGGCCCTCGACGTCGCCGCGCAACTCGGGTCGCCCGCGCCATGGACAAGAGCCGACAAGGTGGCGACGAGAACGAATTCGTCGTGGCCCTCGACGTTGTCGGTGCTGCTGCTTGGCGTGCCCGTTCTCACAGCCGCGACGCTGGCGTGGCGCAAGGTGACGTACTAATAGAAGACCGACGTGTGCATTTATTGGCGATCGCTATTGCTATGTCGCTGTCGCTGTTGAAGACGTAGGTCGTCCACTGCAGTAAAGCGACAGACACGCTACATACAATGTACAAGCGCAAAATGCCGTTATGCAGTTATTCCTGGTCGCCGGTCTATCCATTTCAGGCGGGATTGCGGCGGAAAGAGCTCGGTTTCGCAGCCGGCTGCCCATGCCCCCAGCGCAAGGTTATGCTACGCAGTACCATATTGTACGATCTACATCGACCCGTATCTTCGGTAGCAGCGACCGTCGACTCGTCGAGTGTATGTGGGATGCAACGCCAACTGGCCGTGCGACGATCCTGGTCGTCATTCGCGCTTGACGCCAGGGCAGCAGCATTGGACTGAAAACTCCCAGCGCATGTCGCGGCCCGTGCGCATGACGCGGCCCGTGCGCATGCCAGTCGCAGCAGGCGTTCAGCTGGCAGATGTGGCTTAAACGTCAAGAAAAGTAGAATCACAAACTCGCGGCCTGTAAATATACTTGTGTCCTTCACGCGATGAGAGTGGGAATGGTAGGAGCACCAAGCACCCTGCCGACGGACATAACACTCGCAATTGGCGTAGCGCCAAGAGCTCGCTCTCTGCACACTTAAGTCATCGCCTCAAATGACCATACAAGACCACAAAAAGTGATATCACGTTAGCGCGCAAGCTTGGAAGGTGCAATTTTTCCCGTCGATAGGATGGCGATGCGCAGTCCGGAGCTGTGTTTCGGTGCCAAGAGAAGCTCGAGGTGCTTTAAGTAGTTCGCCTCAGCTGGCTTGAGCCGGTGCTTGATATGCGCCCGAAGCATGGGCTGGTCTCTCAGAGTGTAGAGAAGCGTCTTGAGAACGGTAACTGTACCGGGGCCGAGCTCTTGCAGGCTCAAGTGGTCGCGGCAGCCTTCGTTCATGATCATGGCAACCTGGACGAGCAGCATGGCTTCCTCCGCCTTTCGTTTCTTGATGGCAGCGACGATGTCGGGCCCAATCAAGTTGGCTTGCTTGGATTGCAACAAGAAGGATGTGACCTTTTGCACTGAGAGCCCCGCATGGCGCGTCGGAGTGCGACTGGGCACGATGGCCGTCATGGATTTCGCACGAGAGAAGAGACGCGTGTGGTACAGCGTGCCTAAGCGCTTGGGCTTGCGCATGGTCACGTCGCGCGATGCGCGATGCAGCTCGTCCAGGTACATCTGAAAGGCCCAGTGCGTCGAGAGGCAAATGTCATCGAGCAGCGTCAGCAGCTTGTACGACGTCGTGATCTGTGCTTGGGCGGCGAGGATGTTGGCCACAAATGCTTCCGAGAGCGCATTTGCGGGGTTGGAGGTGGCGGCATTGCTTTCGATCATTTGAACGATGCTCAAGACAACATCGGCGACACCTTCGGTCCGTGACACCTCGCTCGGCTCGCGGCTCGCACGCAAGAGGTACTGGGACAAGTGGACGAGGTTCCAATAGTCGGTGAAATGCACCGTCATCGACTCCGAGCACTCGAAATGCGAGACAAAAAGTTGGCGGAGTGTCGCGGCGGCGGCGCTCGACTGACTCGGGCTCGCGCTCGCGCAGATCGAGCAGCAGACGTATAGCATTGTCGGCTGCGATAATCGAAGGACGCGTGCGACGTACATCTCCTGTAGCACTTTGGCAGCAATGAGACGCGCGGGGGATGCCGAAATACTGCTGAGAACCTTCAGCGTTTGAATGCAGTCGGAAAGAATCGAT